TTGATGACAGGCTCCACTCTGGAAAACTAAGAAAGTCGACAAAATTACAAGATTGGACTCTGCAACACATTTCAATGTCTGACAGGAAGCTCACCTCACTTCATATTACAAGAATTTGGGGTGAAACGTGATATGAAAGTGTGCACAAGCACAGTGCATTGCAGACTGCTTGCCAGAGGGCTCAAAGGCTGCAGGGCTCGAAGTAAACCTTTGTTCACAGACACTCACTGCTCTTGTCAATGTGCATGGCCAAGAAGTATGCTAAGTAGACCAATGACCAGTGGGCCAAGGTCATCTTCAGTGATGGGAGCAATTTCTATTTGACTGGGAATTAGTGCAATAAGTATGTCAGAAGATTTCCAGCTGAAGAATTTAGGCCTGAATCTATCTGTGAAGCATGTATTGCACATGATGATCTGGGGATGTATCACTGCTTCTGGTATTGGTTGGATACAAATCATGCAGGGAATCATGAATTCCAAGCAATATGTTGAAGTCCTGGAAAAGACCATGCTTCCTTTAGCTCAGCAACTTGTAGAGAAGGACTTTTACTTCCAGGATGACAATGTTCCTTGTCATCAAGCCAAGTCTGTCCAGCAGTGGATGAAGAAGCATGGTGTTTGACTCTTGGATTGGCCAGCTCAGAGTCCGGATTTGAACCCAATTGTGGGCCAAGATTGGTTATGAAATAAGCAAGAAGCATCCGAAAACCAAGCAGGAAATGATTGAATCCATTATTGCAATGTGACACCACATTGTTACCAAAGATCATGTGCAACGGCTTATGCAGTCTATGCCAAAGCAATGCTGCATGGTGATAAGCAATAAGGGCTGGCCAATTTCATATTAGTAATTATGTTTGGTTACCTAAATGGTCCTTTTCAGAACCACAAACAATAAAAATGTTAACAAAACACTAGCATTGGCCTTAGTAATTGCAACACATATGCCACTGGGTAAGCATCAGTTAATCTATTTTCATAGTCCTTGTAAGCATGCATTGTAAGCATGCAAGAAAATTCACAATCCCACTCCAAACAGCACCAAATTGCAAAAAGCTTATGCTTTTCACTCAAAAAACCACCAGTATTTATTTAAATATAACAATATTTGGATAGCAGTTAGCATAAAATATCATAAAATCAATGGCCTATCCAAAAAATGTCATAAACTTTAAACTGTAAACCATAAACTGTAAAGAGTGCAGGACTTTTTCGACACAGCATATACTATATATTCTTTAGCCAGTATGATCTTGATAGTACTAGGCAGTAAACAGCTAACTGTATAACTATAAATTAGACCAGCCATTATTTATATAACATTATTTCCTACTAAGTAGGAAACAATGTGTCCCGATTGGGTAAATTTTTATTTTTATGTGTGTTTTAATATAAAATCTCACCTTAGAAAAGTGTTTAACTAGCATTAATATCAAAAGACAGACAATCCATTAGATACAAAATTACTGTATTTGTAACCACTCTAATTGCAATTGTAATAACTGTTTAAAAGAATTGTTATAGTATTATTAGTATAAAACAAGTTGGTCTAGAAAAAGGTTAATGCAAGTTAACGGGCTAAAGAAAAGAAGAAAGCAAATCAAAACAGATGCCAATATATATTTTTATTGTCATTTTTCTTCATTTGAATGATGGGAAAATTATACCATTGTCAAAGTGTGATTTGAAGTTCTATGCATTGTCATATCGATCATTTTAGAATACCTGCATTCTTTTTCAAAGCACTAGATCAGTTTGGCCAATCTGACGCTTGCAGTTAGGTTCTGGAAGTTGTATAATCCTGTTATATTAGGGAAGCTATGGGAAATTCTTTAAGATAAGGTGAAGCTATAAGTCTATGAGTCTGTTTTTAATGTCTTAAGGGTCATCATCATCATAAAATGAATTGTAGAAGATTCTTTCTGGAGCAGGAATGTGATCCAGAATGCCAAACGAGAGGAATATTGGCCAATGTACTGATTTATTCCTTATTATCTACAATAATTCACAATGCTTACAGTATATACAACAGGAGATCACACTTCATCCACAAGGCTGAATTTCAAAACTAAGCAAGGTCACACCAGGCTGTTTGTTAGATAGGAGATCATCAAGAAATCTCAAGGATGGAAGTGAAAAAAAATAATACTGGAAAAAAGTAATAGCAAATAAGTTCCTCATTTTTGTCAAGAAAAATTACATTAATTTGTCCAAATTGTCACCAAGTAGTAACCTTATGTCAAGAGAGTCTTGATCATTAGCCCCTTCCAGAAAGATAGAACAATACTTTTTAATTATCAAGAGAAATTATTTATCATAGAATCATAGGGTTGGATGGACATTGCAGGTGATCTACTTCTGCCCAATGCATGAATTGTATGACTGTCTGATCTTTTTTTGATAATCTGCAATAATTGAGCATCCACAATAAGGCAGATTGTTGCATTGCTTAAGANGATGACCTTGGCTTTCTAGAAAGGAATTTTATTTTGGCTACATAGCATTTAACTCCATAAAATCCTCCTTCCCATTTTCCCACCATAGAAAAGGCATAGTAGAATAATAGAAAGTGTAGCAGGCCAAAGGAATATGGCTACAGGCCGACAGAAGCTTTTTTTTTTTAGAACTACTGGAGATGGAACTTCATTATTATGTATGTTGACTGCAGCAAGAATTTTATATATGTAAGAATTCCCACAGTGGCAGAATAAATGAAAAAAATGATAGAGCTGGCAGAGATGGAAAAATTAACTGTTTTAATCAAAGAAATGAATATATCTAGTTTTGTTTCTACATGGAAACTGCTTCTAGGCTGTGCTTGAAAAAGGAAAAATGAAATTCTGACTGGATTTTGCTGATTAGATTAGTTTAGAAATTAGTTTATTAAATGTGTAAAAGTAAAAAAAAATGAGGTTGCAATATTATTTTGTATTTTATTGCAATGAAAAATGTTGGAAATCAATGTTTTTTTCATCTTTATCTCACACCTATTTTCCCTCTTCTTTTCCTCCCTCATTTCTCTATTTTTATTTTATATTTTATATTACAACAATTTTCAATAAAAAATATTACCAAAAAAATCTAATCAAAGTCAACCGAAACAATGTACAATGTATCATTTTTCCAAACTGTGACATGTGAAGAAAACTGTGACAGAGTTTTAGAAAATGTCTGAAGAAAACCACTTGTTTTAAAAAGAATAAAGATACAAAATTCTCAATTTTTTAAATCAGGAGCAGTAATTACCTAACCTATCCTAAATGTTTCCTAAACATCTTCAAAGCTGAAGAGGAACCGTATGTTTTGTAACATATGCAAAGCAAAGTGCTCTCTGCAAACAAAACCAGAAAATATATTTACCAGCATTGGATCCTGTCAGGTTATAGCGTGCATTTAGTTTTTTTATGATGCTTTCATGAATTTGAAACCAGTCACTCTCTGTGTTACACCTGCAAAAAGAGTAACATTGCAAAACATTGCTCAGAAGTTAATGCTGTATCAACAGGAAAAGTAAAATTGTGAATAATCCAGTCAGCTCCAGATTAAAGGATATCCTGAGCAAACTTGTCCTTTGCAGTAGCTATTCAAATAGTTAGTTTCAGCAGTAACTTTAATCCATTCACCCATCATTTTACCAGATTTATCAGCTGTCTGTTTACATAATATAAATATATAACATGCATGTAATGTAAAACCATGACAGAGTATTGTTTCATAACATTGTCTGCCATTCTAATTGGTAAATGAGTTACTGCTGCTATTAGGCAAGTTTGCACATGAGAATTCAGCCCTATATAAACTGTTACTGCCAGTGGGATATGAATTTAGATTAAGTGAATCTATCAGTAAGTCTGAGATGTTTTAATTTGGATTTCTGCAAAGATCAGAAGTTGGACTTTGTGGCTTCACATGGTCCCTTCCAACTTTATGATTCTAGACTTTATTCTCTGCTTTAAAGAAAAGCTTAAAAATATAGTCTCAATAGAAAACATAGTAGGAAAATAAAACTTCTCCACTGCTGATACATTCAGCAGGGAACACTTGCAACTGAATTTTAACAAAAGTAAAAAGAATCCATTATACTACTAGCCCCTTAAATTGTTGTAAAGTCTTCTCAAATCCATTGCTTCACACAGCTCTAATTCAGGATCCTGGGGACCACAGCTAGAGAACAGTTGCCCTTAAGACACATAATGAATCCTAATCCAAATACTAATTTTTAAAATTAGTACCAGCAGCCTGAGCAAGAGCTGAGCTCCAAGCCTTATGGAGCGCAAATCGTGGTTGCCGCCTGCTCCAGAGCCACAAGGTGAGTTGTGGAAGACAGGGGCCCACAGCTGCAAGGTTGCCAGGTGCTGTGAGCAGGGCTGGGACTGACAAAAATGTGCTGGGAACACCTCCAGGTGCCTGGAGAGAGAGATTGAGAGGCAGCTCCCAGCCCTCACTGGCTCAGCCAATCCGCGGGGCAGTGATTAAGGAACCGAGCCTCCATGAGTTGACCGGCGAAGGGAAGGATCTGCTGTGCTAAGCACTGTCTCAGGGATCACTGTCCATGTTTGTGAGGGGACAAACTGCCCTAGTAAAGGGGGTGCTCATGGCTGCCTCCTGTGCTGATCATGCCCACCCCCTTCACTACGGCTTATTTTTGGGATAAGGTTTATATTAGGCACATGCTTAAAAATCAGGCTAGGGCTTATTTTTGGGGTAGGTCTTATTTTCAGGGAAACATGGCATATGTATGTGTGTGTGTATAAGCTCTCTCTCTCTCTCTCTCTCTCTCTCTGTGTGTAGATATATAGATATACATATACACATATACATGTATTTGAAAGGAAAAATAGTCCACAGATTATATTTCATTGATAAAATGTGATCTAAATATTATTGTAATATATTACAAATATATGTATTCTTACATATATACTTTTAAAATAATGTCATCTTTTGTATCACCAGCCAGTAGATCTGCTATACTGAGGACTGCACAACCAAAAGGTCGCCGATATTGTATATTGCAAGCATTTTTCTTTTCACCTGCTCCCATTCGGCCTGTCAAAACAAAATATATTGTGAAAGAAAAAGAACAAGAGACACTAAATAAATACATATCTGCTACCACCTGCAGTTAATTTAATAATTTTATTGGATGCTAACTGTGCCAACATTTAAGAGCACCTTCAAACTGTATCCTCCTGAATTGACTTAATTGTATGAAAAGTAGATAAAATGCCTACATTAACCTATGTGAGCCAGCATTTTAAATTTGACTTTTCTTAGGAGCATTCACAGTTCACTATAAGCCCTCTATTGACATCAAGGTTGATTCCACCTTCTGTCCTTTCAAGCTGGGTAAAGACCCAAATTGTTGGGGGCAATATGCTGACTCCGTAAACCACTTAGACAGGTCTGTAAAACACTGTGAAGTGATATATAAGTCTAAGTGCTATTGCTATTGCTATCAAAGAGGAACCCACATTAAATTTCTTAAGCTCCAACTGTATATATTCATTAAATCTTTTATCAAGAAAAGAGGTGTGCTTATCAATCTCTGCCTTAAATACACATGAGCTATATATATAAATTATGGAGCAATAAAAGGCACATTCTTATTAACAAATCACATGCTTGTCACATCTTTGTTTTAAAATAACCTGCACTTTTGCCATTACAATTGCACTGGAATGTGTGTAGTAAAATTTAAAAAAGAGCAACAAACCTAGGATCTAGTCTTGGCTTTGCAAGACATTATAGGCAACTGAACAGATGCAGATCAAATAGGGAATGAACATTAATGATTCCATTTGCACTTGATACTACACAGACACACAGACACACAGAGACACACATATCCAGTGGTGGGATTCAAATAATTTAACAACAGGTTCTGTGGGTGTGGCTAAATGGGTGTGGCTATGTGGGCTATGTGGCCATGTGACTGGGTGGACGTGGCTATGGGGTCATGTGACTGGGTGGACGTGGCGAACTTGATGTCACTCACATGGAGGGGCGCCTCACCTGGCTTCTCCCTCGCCCCTCTCCTCCCAGCCAGTCCTCACCTCGGCTTGCTTGTTTTAGTAAGAGAGGAAGCATTTTTAAAGTCATCTTCCGCTTGATACTAGCCAATAAGATGAGATTTTGCTATCAGAAGACCTGATGTACCTTTCCAAGTATTGTTTATCGCCATTCTCTTGGTAAGACTGAATGGAGAGATTTATAAAGAGTAACAGAGTTGGAAGGGACCTTGGAGGTTTTCTAGTCCAACCCCTTCTCAAGGATGAGACTATACTGTTATGGACAAATTTCTTCATAAAAACCTTCAGTGATGGTATACCCACAACTTCTGAAGGCATCCCATGCCTCTGATTAATTGTTCTCACTGTCAGAAAATTTCTTCTTATTTCTAGGTTGGATCTGTTTGATAAGTTTCCATCTCACAGATCAATCTCACAGTTACTTCCAGTTGAGCCAGGCACCACCTATTCTATACCTGTGAATTTGTTTTTTTTTTCTTGCCTAAGTATAAAATCTTACTTTATTCTCCATTAAATTGCATTTTTGGTGAGAAATGATGTTCTACCGTGGCATTCATAATGATTTTTACAAAATGCACTAAAGCTTGAATAATACTTATACTGATAAAGGTTATTCTTTTTGAACATTAAAGCATATAGACAAGCAAATATTTCCAAACCATTGTAAATATATTTCCAAGCACATTTGAAAGGCATTTTCAAAACAGTCAGCTGATGGATGTCTTACCATTCTTTCACTTTTCTTTTAATTAAATATTTTTGTTTTATTTTTTTCCCTTGGGCCTTATTGCAATATTCCAAAACTTTCACAGATCCTTCACAAAAACCCATTTCTAATTTAACTGGAATATATTGTTTTCATTCTCAGTTCTTCTGGTTATAGAACTTCCCTTCTCCTTCACTCATCATTTCTCCCTTTAATTACGTTGGAGCATACTTGCAACAAAAAGAAGCATTAATTTTGGAGTCGCCTGGGCAAGGGCAGCCCGCCGTTTCCAGGCCCAGCTTCATCCCAAGTGGTGAGCCCAGCACCAGCAGCCTCCATCACCTTGTGAGCCCGCCATGTGCTCCAGGCCAGTCCCCTGGGAACCAGGCATGAAGAGACAATCGCACCCAGTCCCTCATTGCCCGGAAAGGTTGGCAGGCAAGGTTTCCAGGTCCAACAAATCCCTCTTTTGGGGAGATTTTTAAACAAAGGGCTGGGAATTTCAAGTGAGATGTGTGCTACAGTCTCACCCACCCCACTGGCAGCTCTGGTTTTTCTGCACATTTGAACATTTCAGTTTTAAAAAGTAGTAATAATAATATAACAACAGTAGCAATAAGCTGTCAATTTATTCTGCCCTATAAGACTGACATGTTATACATTTAATGTATGTGGTTCCTTAATAACAATTGCTGTACAATTAAAAATTTTCCTTTATCAGGAGAAATTAGTATATGCATACCAATGCGTATAATGTGCACAGTAATGTAGATGTCCTTCCTAAGTTCACTGCTTCCCAAATCCTGTTGAGAATCAGAACAATCCAAAATTATGATATAATTTTTCTGTGGATTATTGATATAAACAATTTAAAAATTTTAAGTGTACTTCTGACTAGCATACTGAAGAGCAGTCAAGAAAAAAATAAAATATGGGGTATTCAAATACATTTTATTAACACAACATTTGTACATGTTCATGGTCCTGGGAAATATAAGTAAAAATGTTAGTGATGAAGCCATTTTCTTTGTGGGGGTCTTCAAACTTCCAAATCTGCATTAAGTCAAGATTTCCAGTCAGAGAATTTGGAATGACTATTTCTAGGAGAAATGACTTCTAGCGGAAATAGGTCTCACTGTGCAGTTATGGTTGAAGCCCTGATTATCAAAAGCTATCCAGTTGTAGTTTTACTATGGTGCTGCCATGGTGTCAGCCAGCTTTTTGAAACTAGATGGAGTCCTAGTTGATCAGATGTGAATAATCACTATTTGAATGATATTAAACCATAAATCTGATTCCATCTAGGAAAATAAATCCCATTCAGATTATTCTTAAAACTTAATTTAGAAATTTTCTCACAAAGTCCCACAGAAATGTTAAAACACAATGTTTCATATTGGAAAACAAAAGACTTCTTTAATTCTGAACTAAAATACATCTCAGAAGCAAACATCAAAGCTATCTTTGTGCCTATCATATATTTAAATATAAAATTCCTCTACTTGTTAGATACTAGACCAAATGGACAGTAAAATATATTATTATTACTATGTTGCTTTGTTCTTTTAAACTTCTTAGATATTAGTCTGAAGCCTCACTATTACATACACTCCGGTCATGTATTTGGATTACCGAATAAGTAATAAAAAATACATTAAAATACAGCAAATAAGGACAAATATATATATAAAGCAACTCACCACAAAAAGAGAGCAATATCTTTCTGGCTTCTCTGGACATTTGGGCAAACCACTCCGATTTAGTTTTAAAAAAAATCTCTCACTGTAAGATAAATATTATAATTGGAACAGATAAATTTATCTGTCACAGCAATGTGCAAAAAAAAGCCCAACACACCACATCCTTATTCAGTATTTGGATAAATATTTTTATCACTTGTTTCCAAAACAATCTTTTCTAAAATTCTAGAACAAGGTTGCAAAACAAGCCATTTTTTTGTTTATCAGAGTAACTTTGATACTTTTGCTACAAAACCCAGCTCCTTCTACGTCACAATGCAGAATTCCATGAGGTTGAGATAATTGCTAAAAGAGTCATTGATATGGAATCAAAGCCAGATGGCTCTTTAAAATAACTCACTGAATAAAGCAGCAACTACTTAATTATATTTTTGATTATTAAGGAGTTGCTGCTTCAGTCAATAAATTATTTAAAATTCATTTCACAACTAATACGTTACTGAACTCATGAAATAATCTATCAGGATTTCAAAAAAGGCTCTTCCATTATTATCTACCTTGTTCCCCCAAAATAAGACAGGGTCTTATCTTCTTTTGCCCCCCCCCAATATGGCCTTGGCTTTATTATCAGGGGGGGCTTATTGTTTTGGGGTTGCTGGCCAGCAGCTGCTCTCTTGCGAGCGGGCTCCTGAAGAGCCTGGTGTGGGGACGGGAGGATGCAGCACAGCCTCAGGGGCAAACAGCTGTGTTGCACTGTCGCAGCAGCACAACACAGCAGCCATGAGATACCACACTGAAGAGCAGCCTACTGGCACCCCCCTCTCCAGCTGGGCAGAGTGCCACTCACCAACCTAGTGGTATCCTGAAGGGGCCAAGCTGCGGGAGCCAGGGGGGAACAGCCCCCGGAAGTTTGCTGCCGAGTCTTCTGGGAGCCAGGGCACAGAGTCTTCCAGCAGCCTGCCCACAACCATAGAGCGGGAAGTGCACTCCCAGAGCCACTGCCAAAAGACTCTATGCCTTGGCTCCCAGAAGACTTGGCAGCAGACTTCTGGGGTTTGGAAACTGCAGAAGAAGCCATCCTCAATGCTGGGATGGTGACGGAGGCAGCACCCTGGCCCTGCAGGGAGAGCTGTCCCAGATCGTGGTGAAGCCGGGAGGCACACAAACAGGGGACGGAACAGGCCCTCACGCAACCCCACCTCTCCAGTCAGGCAGAGCACCACTCACCAACCTAGAGGCATCCTGAAGGTG